TTGGTCCAGGCCTATCTGGCCCTTAGCCAGAGAAGATGAGTGGACTGGGAGGCAAATCAACAATCCTCCGATGCGAGCAAAATTTTCCATGTTATCGACAAGGAAGAGATTTCCCATGGGTCTGCAAAGCCCCCAATCGACGGCAGTCTGTAGCAAAGCCTCGCCTGTTGGTCAGACATTTTGGCAAATGCTCCAGACATTCTGCAGAACGAGGAAGTTCAGACTGCTCATCATCGAGGCTCAATCAGGCGGAGGGCCGGGAGCGTCGATCGAACGACAGAGCCCGCTAGTGTCCGCTGCGACACTGCTGTCGGTCGGTTAGAATACTCCAGAACAACTGCAGTGTCTCACCGAAGGCTCCTGGTGCCATTTCCCTCTCAGGTGAGCTGAGAAGGCCTCTGAACGCTGATGGCGCTCTATTGGACGACGATGGCTGCGCGGTTCCTCCAGCTTGATTGTGAACGCCAGGACTAGCCTGGTTGGGAATTCCGGGGACGGAGGCCACGGAGGACGACTCACCCAGCACTCCCGAGCCATCCCAAGCCCCAAGTCCCGTTGGCAAACGACGGATGCGCCGCTGCCCCGTGCGGGCAGACGAAGAAGGGCTGAGACAGAGCGCTTGATTCTGGCTCGTCGCTTAGTGCGGGCGCGTTTTGAAGGCATCACGGCGTCAGCCGAGGGCGTCCTTGACGGCGGTGCGCATGCAATTGATGAATCATCGGCCATGGCCCCTGCCAGACACCGCCGTCAACCCCAGGCCTCTTGACTCTCATAATCTCATCATCATGCCCGCTGCTCCCCCGCCGGTATCTAGACCTCGGATTTACGAGCACGTGGATCTTGAATGTTTCTTGGCATGCCAAAGTCTAAGTCTACTGTGAGTTGCGGGCACGCTCAATTCAACAACCCCTGAGAGAACAGAAGCAAAGTTGCCGTCTAACAAAGTGTAAAGAAGAATTAAAATTTTCAGGGTCCTCCGGCACATTCCACTGCCCATTTCAACTCAGCCCCTTTCATCCCTTGAAGCCGCCGATAGATGTTCAGAAATTTTTCTGGCCTCGACTCAACAATCTCACCAACTCTTACTGAAAAATTCTGTCCTGGACCAAAGCAGAAGTCGTGTCCGAAAGCACAGAGCAAATCATTTGCACACAGACGCCATGGCCATTCGCCTTGATTAGATCTCTGCTACCATGTAAGCGCGATCGCTGTTCACAGCCCCTGCTCTCTCTCTCTGTCTCTGTGTTGCCCTCCTACGGATACCATGCCCATGTCAGCAACCAACCAGGCACATCTTTGCTTACAGACACCCCTCTGTCGCGCCAAGCGCCCCCCACGCTCCTCTCACTCTCTTCCTCAAGTTCGTCGTGCTTTCTTTTTCGTTCCCCCTCAACCCTCGGCGAGCGAGCGAGCGAGCGAGCCAGCCAGCCTGTCCAAATTGGCACTGGCCGACAACCCCCTGGGCCTACAGTGTAACTCCAGAGTCAGGAAGTTGTGCGAAGAAAATGGCCGACTGGCGCGAGCAACAGGCCTGGCGAGTGCGAATGGCCGGGGAGGCCCTGCTCATCTGGGCTTTGTCTCCTGGCTTGTACTAGGACAGTCGTATCAACTCCCCAGCGAAGGGACAAGAGAGCTGCTCAGGCGTTTCGCCCGCGGCAACGTACGAATAGCTTCAGCTCACTCGTCCACTCCCGACTTCACGAGGAGCACAGACCCAGGGGTGGACGGTGACGACATTGCAACTTCGTGTCTCCATTAGGCAATGGTCCATATCGGAGTCGGAGACTCTTTTCGAGATTGACGATGGCCGGACGGGGCCCGCCAGGCTCGACAAGGCTCTGACAGTCAGATGGATATTGATATCCTATTTTAGAAGCAAGGTGAGAGCGTCTGCTGATGTGAGCCTCTGCATCCAAGGTGAGATGTGCCAAATACAGTCAAGCGCGGCTGTTGCTGACCTGCAAACGAGCAAACTTCCAACTGCAAAAGATCCCAAGCGGGAAGGCCCTCAAGGCGAAGGGCCGCTCTGGTGCCCGTTGCCTAACCACCTGGCTGGAATCAAATATCAATGGACGAGGCCTCTCGGTCTGCTTCATCATCCCACCACAGCCGCTCCCGCGCCTCAGCCTTGCTTGACGGCTCTCTTTCCTTTCTCGTTCGTTCAGCGTTTCCTGTCTCACAATGGGCTGTCCTGCCCCCCTTGCACCTCGAGTGAGCTGAATGGGAAAGCCGGTGATGATGGCGATGTGGTTGGTGTTGGTCCTACAACAACAACATCATCATCAACATATGGATATGTACCTCAAGATGGCCGGCATCAGGCTGGTCATTGTTGCTGCGGCTTGCAGATGACCTCCCCCCAGAGATGTTTGAAGCCCTCCTTCGTGTCTTGGAAATATTTCTTTTTCCTCCTCGCAGTGTGTTTGCTTAATTCTCCCAAGACTCGTTTATCTCTGGCGCAGCGCAGGTTGAAGAGAAAAAGGATTAGCCCGTTCAAGACCCGCTGGGATGCTAAGCCTCGTTTGGAGTCGAGGTCTGAGAAGTGATCTGGTGATGGTCCACTATTCGTGTCAAATGGCGTTGCATCCAAACACTTCTCCGCATTTTTGGTGTCTCGTTTGATTTTGAACCAATCCTTAGCACAGTCGCACTGGCATCCTGCATAGCATAGCATGGCATGGGGAGGGGAGAACAGGAGTAGCATGGATGGGAATCATTGGCAACTTCGTGCCAACGCTTCTTTGACGCCCATATCTGTGTCACGTTATTTCCCTCCCCCGCATTACTGGCGAAATGAAATGATGGGGGATGCTAAACCATGGCTCGCATCGAATAGGCTTGCTTTTCCCATGGTAGTTTTCCTCCCCACGTTGCCCATGTTTCCTCCCCGGCCATAACTCTCACCTTACGAAAGGACCTCACATAAGCACTGACAATTCTAGCTCAGGCAGCTTACCTAGGGTCAGGTAGTTGAGACTGGGAATTGACTGATTGCTGGCAAGGGTCTCTCGGATTCCGCACCTCAGGTCTTGGCTTCATCTCTGGGGTATTTTTGTTCGTCTGTTGTTTCTCGATACGGAGCAACGCTTACCAAGTTGCAGGGGCAGAGCGATGCCATGGCCAATTTCTTAACCGTGGTGCCGCTGCCGCGCGCTCCATCATCGCAGCGCCAACTGAGGTTTGCACAACTCATATTCCCAACCCACCCTAATTCTCCAACAAACACACAAAGACTAATTGATAGATCCCGACAAGAAAAGATCAGCCTCAACCATGAATAGTATCAACGTCGGGCGTGACGCCACGCTATTCCAGTACCGCCAACTATTGATTACAAGGCCTTGAACCTGCTTACCCGTCTTCGTCAAAGGGCCAGTCTCTCGTTACCCCAGCATGGCCAGGATTGAGCTGCAGCCGTGGCTGCATCGGCGATGGTGGCTCCCTCCTCCAACGCCTTGTTCAAAAGAAACGACTCGACGAAATGGGCGACGTGCATATCCGAACATGTCAGGGCCATGGTACCATGAGGTTGCGTTTCTGGTTGATAGGTGGCTGCCTGCCCTGCCCTGCCTTGCCCTGCCTTGCCCTGCCCTGGCTGTAACCTAGACGTGGAGGTCTTGGGTTTGGCCTTGGTCGATGGCGATCACGCACACTGCTTATTTAGCGTTCTTTCGACATAGCAGTGTCTGGACCTTCCTGCGACTGGCCAAAGTCTGACAGTCAGCTTTGTCGTTGTGATACCATCTGCAGGTTTTTTCGGATGAAGCATATCGCTTGCCCTTGCAACGGACACCACAGAGTACGCGCGGCTTGGCATCCTGGCTCGCGGCAATTGCACGCCCACGCTGCCTTAGTGTCCGGACACTATGGCATCCGACGCTGCCGTTCTGGCCTTCTCAGGGGGCGCTGCGACGGGTTGACTGCGGGCAGGGCAGAGCTAGCCTTGAGAAATATGGAAAAGCATTTCGGTGGCTCGTGGAAACGGTCTTGAGAAATGACCAAAGTTGTGGATGCTACTGTAAGCAGTATGTCTCGATTGCGACTACCTAGGGTCCAGCTCGGCACTTTCGAATTGTCGAAGACTGTGTTCACTTAACAGCTTATACGTGCATCTGCACGGCAGGGCAGCATCCGAAGGAAACGTCGTCTAATGGCAAGAATGCGGCGGCTGCCGTTGCTGGTCTGTCCCTCTAGGGTCCCCGAATCTGACCACTCGAGAGCACCTGGCGAGAACTCTGACCTGGCTCTGATGTGTTACACGACCGTAGACTTGACTGTTTCCGGTCAGGCAAGAAATCTCACGCCCTTGGGTCTGTTATCATAAACGCAGGACTCAGGGTGACAGCCAGGTTCGGGCTTTTCAGAGGCCGATCACCATGTTATTTGCAACGCATTCTGTACCTCGCATCTTTTGTGACAATCCACGCCCGCTCAACTTTGCGGATGATATCTTACCAACGATAGGGGGTTAACATAGAGGCGGCCGGCCCAACACGGTTGAACGCGGCGAAAGGAGACGACTGCGGTAGTCAAGCCAGCCCCAGCCAATCATGCCATTCGTCCTGCGGGATGTTCAACGAGTCCTAGAAGGCGTTCGTCCACTCCCACACACACACTCACGCACATCGCTCATCAGGCGCCCGTCTCACCATCATCGACAATATGCAGGTCTGCTGCATAGGTTGCTTGCCCTCCCGTTGACGAGATGGGGTGAGGTTGGGGGTCGCAGAAGGCGAAGGGCCAACGTCTAGGCCGCGTGTTCTCCAGGCCCAAACCACCAAAGCCCCAATCCCGCTCGTGCATATGATGGCGAACCTCTCAGAGGGTTGCACGGTATCAGAAACGGGCCTCGATGGACGACACCCTCACGCGGGTCATCTTTCCTTTCTAACCCTGCCTCTTGCGAGACGAAACCCGACCCTCTGCGAAAGCGAGAAAGAAAAGTAGTCAACACAATGTCTCTCTAACGGTCACTGGTGTGAAGCTAGGCCTAGTGTATTATGACTACTGATCACATCAGTCATCTACCATGCTACCTCTCTCGAGACTACCCGAATTCCAGAGACCTGCGCCACTGCCACTGGACGACATTCACTAGCGGGCTGAGACCGTTGGAGGGTTGGGAATGCACACGCACGCGCGCACCGTCTTGGCCGCCGTTGATCTCGTAAGTCTCAGCTTTCTTCCTCCAAGGTGTGTTTTCTCCAACATTCTCTGACATTGAGCGTGGCAAAAGGGTTCACAGATTCCTCATCCCGGTGGTCGACTGGTATTCACTCCCCCCTCCAATTCCCGCATCTCACTCGTTTTCTCAAGCCAATTGGCGGTCGTCTGTCTCGAGACCACAACAGGTCGCAGTCGCTGCACAACGGGACGTGTTCGTCAGTGATCTATCTCAGTGAACTGAACAAGCGAGGCGCCACCGTCCCTATTCAGCTTAAACGAGGCATGCTCGAGATGCAAGGCGTGCAGCTCTCTGGCCTGCTTCTCGTGCCATAATGGGCTGTCCATCATTCTCCCTTCGCCTGCACTCCGCCCTTCCCCCATCCTGTCCCAAAGGAGAGGGACGCAGCTGTGACGGGATGCACGAGTGTGCAGATTCCCGGCCACCAACACCACTGCCAAACCCCTCTTCAGCATTCACATCGCTTGGTCATTGGACAGCGGGGGAGGGACGATATCTACACATGCGTTCGAGAGCTCCCGTCCAGTCCTGGGCCGGCCTGCCACACCAACCGTGTGGTCGATGCCCCCTCCTTCTCTCCACAAACCCCGCCGACCAGTCATCTCACAGCAAACCCTCACGGCCATATTGGTCTAGAGGTCATTTTCCTATCTATCACTCCTAGCTTGCCACCAGCTTACTACAGGCACAAATATGGATGCTCAGGTAATACAGGCCCATCACCGTTCGGCGACACCTCTTCCTAGTTGGGGCATGAAGGTGTGGACCAAGGTGTGGCTTGCATCCGACCGGGCTGACCGGGCACACCGTAAACAACCAAAGAGGCAGAGAGCTGACTGCGGTTGACGCTATATGTTCCTCTACACCACCACCACCTACACACCTTCTTTGGAAGAGGAAACAAGCTTGGCTCACCTGGCATGTCCGGCTCTCATGACGAAACATGACAAGGCAAAACCAGGTTTCGCAACAGCTTCGCCTACACAGCCAGCCTCGTCCGCGGATTTCCTCAAAAAGAGGATTCATCGGGCCACTCTGCTTTCCAAGCAAGTAAGCAAGCAAGCTCGTGGGCGAAGGTGTGAAGGCACTTAGTTGCCCCCCCTACCGTCAGCTGGGATATCCAGTGAAGGGCAGGGCGCCCCTCTCGGTCTGCTGCTAATCGACTTCGGCATTTTCTTTTCGCCGCGCCTCCTGCCGAATCTGCCAGGAACACAACCCTCCAGTCGGGATGGGCAAGGGCGGGAAGGACAAGATGTTGGGTGGGCCCAGAAGCTTGCTTCTTGGCTCACTGGGCCGAGTGATCCAGCGATTCATCGACTGGCTGAGCGGCCACGAGCTGTTGGAATTTTACTTTTTTTTTTTTTTGTCCCTCCCCATGATGTTGATATTGGATGCTTTGGTACCAGGTGACGGGAATATTTGTCGTCAAAATACTGTTGAGTTCTGCCGGGCTGGAGGAAATTTGCCATGCTCCTTCACGCAGGGGCCGGGCCTGGCCGAGGGCGCAGCGGCAGACGTTGAGGTCCAATCGATGACCCGTCCATCTCCCGAGACGCTGGGCCTAGAACATTGCTCGTCTATCTTGGATGTTGCGTTATCTCAGCCATGGTGAGAGAATCTGCGCTGATCAGGTCAAAAGACCCCCCTGAACGTTCTACGGATATTAAACCGGCTGTCTGCTCCTGTGCTGATCGTTTCCAAATGGGTAGACACGGGTGTAGCATCGTTCGGTATCCATGGGCTGAAGTTGCGCCGACCGATTGAGAAACATGAGAGATGAGCTGTGTCGGAAGTTATGCTCCCCCGAAGAATTTTTGGGTTATGGCAACGGTTTCTCTACAAATTGCGCAAAGAGGGGGGTAAAGTTTGTGAGGAACAGATCTTGAAAGAAAAAGGAAAAAAAAAACAAAGAGAGGGAAACATTCCATGCGACTATCAGCCCGCAGATGAGGGGTGCAGCAAAATGGAGGCTACAATGTACGCAGTACACCGGTGAGGGACCGGCCTTTCTTTTTCCTGGCTGTCGTTAGCCGGCAAGGCGAGCTCCGGCGCGCGGAGCAAGGTTCCACACCGGTGGGCATGGGGAAAGCCTGCCCCAAACCTTGGACGGGAGGCGGCAGCTTCGGTCGGAGGACGACGGCGTGTTGCTCGCCTCCTTGCTTCTCGGTCTGCCGGGGCTGGTCGCAGCGGGCGGGGGCCCAAGCGGTGCGTGCGAGCGAGCTGCTCGGCAGAAGCCATTCCAGCCAGCTACCTGGATACCGAGCCCCGCCCGCCTTTCTCTCACGATGGAGTCATCATCTACATGCGAGGTGCCGTCTGAGATTGGTGGTACCGGTCAGGTCTGGCGCGGGGTTCGTGAAAGTGAGATGTGATGAGAGACGTCGGTAGGTAAGAGGCAAGGGTTACGAAAGCTTTCTTGGGAACAGGCAGGCTGTATCTTTCGTCATGCCAGTACCCTTTCGATGAAGCGGAGAAAGAAGAAGGCATATTCCGGCTAAGGACAGGTCGGTGACCATGCCGGAGGTCTTTTCAGGAGACCAAGTTGAGCTAATCGATATACCCTTGTCAAGTGCCTCATTCGTATGGGGCGCGGACTGGGTTGCCAAATCTCGGAGAAGCTGTGCGTGCCATGGAGAGGTTCCTACCGAAAGCTTGCGGAGTCTCTCTGCCTATTGTGGAGATGAAGCTCTTGAAGCATCACCGCGACGACACATGAGGGGATGAGAAATATCTTCGGCGAGCTGCTTCTTCAGACCCGGCAGGCGTTACTGGAGCACATCGAGCAAGCAGGCTGTCGTAGACAGATCGTCGTTCCCTCGTTAGAATACTCGAGACGGAGCATAGTTCCGGTTCTTGGATAGAATGCTTCTACAGAAGAACATAACCGAGTGGGCGAGACTAGACAGGTTGGCATGTCGCACCACGCCGCTAGTTGCACGAACACAAGGCCTGACGGTGGGTTGACATACCCGTGTCTTTTTATTGCAGCCAGCCGCCGGTTAACGCGCCACGATCATGCAATCGTCGGGTTTCGGCCGTGCGGTCTGGCCAAGTGCCGTGTTACGGGCTTTGTCTTGTGTGTCTCGCCGTCGTCCGGGTCGATGGCAATGTCTGGCCTGTTGGGGAACCGTCGTTTGATTCACATCGCAGTACCACGTTCGTAAGGATTATGATGTCGTTTTTGGGAGGCTGAGGTACGCTTGCACTTGGCAAAATCCGATGCCATTGGAAGTACGATCGTAGGATCTGGGAATGAAAACTAGATCGGTGTTTCACGCTTTACAAGTATTGCTGGCAAGAGAAGTTAGTATAGGCAGTATTCAGAATGTGCTTTCGTTGACGCAAGTCGAAACATGTATAGCGCAAGCTGTTTGATCACGACGTCCTGCAAGATTAGAAAGATGATTGAGCTGGATATTTTACAGAACCTTCCTCCTAGCAGTGGGTGACCAAATGTGGGGATCTGAAAGTTTCCTCTCATTGTCCGCTATTGATTCTCACGCAGAATCTGAAGAGCATCAAGTGGAGTGTTATTTGTGCAACTGCGCTTCGGCTTCCCTGGCCGGCTATGACTGACTGACACAAGGTCAGCTACTTCATCATGTGATGTGATCCCGCGGTCAAAAGCATCGACACCTACCTCTCAACCCACGATTTTCGCTGGAAAGTAAAGAGCATCGCAAATAATGACCGTTTCAGGATCAAGATCAAGTGAGGTTCGGGCCATAGATATCCACAGACACGGTGAAGATAAGGGCAACGTAGCTGCTGGTGAGAAAGAAAGAGCCCTATTGGGCTTGGAAACACCCAAATTCTATCAGTAGTGACTCTCGACACATGCGACTGCTTCCCAGTGGACCAAAAATGGAAGAGGCTGTATAAAGACACACGCCTCATACTGCTGATCAAGTGACAGAAGTCATTTGGGGTTGAGGAGTCGCAACTCACTCGCGTGTCAACATCGAGATACAAGTCTGGTAACCGAATGAATACCCAAAGAGACGTCTACTGGCTGCACCAAGTGTTTCTACTTGGTTACGAGTATATCAGGAGCTATGAGATACAAGAAGTAATTTCTATTGCCGTGATCTTTGCTGAAGGTTTCCATGTCTTCAGACCTACGAGCCAGACGTAGGTTCTATGAAAGCAGTAAGCATACAGGCCCAGCCTTCGAAATGGCTTTTCCACAGAGAGAAACATAGAGTAGCCTGGTGGGGGCCTCTCAGTTAAAAGAATGAATGAAGAGCACGATTCGGCAACGAAGCGTGCTTGAATATCCATGCACTATAAGAAACGTATAGCGAATTCTCTTACCCAAGAGGTACCCTGGTGTATTTGGTACGAAGTGTAAGTACACGACATCAGTATACACAATACTTGTCATTTACGCGCCATTGTCTGATGTGATACTGTTCTGGTCCACTATGTTCAATTCCAGTTTGTACGTTCTCGGACACTACACATATGAAAGCTGGAAATGCTAGTCACTAAGCGATAATTTGACGGTGGCATTGGTGATTCCCGAAACTTGATTCGACAAGTAAAGGAAAAAGGAAAAGAGATTCTACATTGGATAAGATGGTTCCGAGGGACACACATTGATGGGTCTTGACGAAATTTAAGGAGTAAGTACGGGCTCTTCGCTGTTAAACGGAGACGAGAGACGTCAGATCAATGACAGCAACAAAAGGGATGTTGAATGTTGAAAATGAGCCTAAATGCGCGGCGACGAAAATCGCGAAAAGACGTTGTCGGTCGAAGATAGATGAAATCGAAGTCAAGCTGACATATTTGACGTTGACTTTGAAGCTCCTGGCAATGGCCAAGTCGAAAATGCCTGAAAGATTACCCGGACATCCCCCGGGTATCGATTTCGCAAGTCCGTGGTCCCGTGCAGATGGCTACATTGAGGCCAGATACAAGCCACCAAAAGCATTTCACGCGATCTCTTCCAAAGTCCCACTAAGTTTTCCTACTCGACGGATCAAACCCAACGCCCAAGCCTTTGCGTCTCGTCAGTGCCCAACGATGGTATCAGTCAAATAAATAGAGGAAGCTTTCTAGAGAAGCTCTAACCTAAGCCACGCGCCCGATAGCTGGTCGCCTTCCCGATACATCAGGAGAATTGTGAAGTTCGTATCTGTGGGCAGACAACCTTGAGACCCCGACCCCTGAGGACCGACAAGCGACTTGGCACATCAATATTAATTTAGGATTAAGCTTTAGACTCTAGCCCTCAGAACAAGCTTATAATCAAGAATCGCTATCTGCAGGGGCAACATTCTGTTATACTGTTTCAAAACTTTGTTCATTTCCGGCACATACGTGTCTGCCTTTTGTCTATGAGCGTCATCCAATCTAGGTATATCCTCCTCACATCACCAGAACGAAGCCAAGAGAAAAGCGCCTTTGATGAACAGACCCATGCCCCTTCTATCGCGTAGGTGCCGCACTCAAGCATGCTGGTTAATCGTGAGCCAGAAGAAGCATCCAGATCCTGCTCCCATGACGACGCGCCATACCAAGAAAAGGCCTCGTGTCGGTTCGCCGACAGGGCCGCTATTCATTAGAAAATTCAACAGAACCACTCCATGCTAGTAAACACTACCCCTGATGCTACGGTCCTCCTTTTCAGCACGGGCCAGGTCATCGTCGTCCGCTTCGGAACCCAAGTCGCTGCTGTGGGCGTCTCCGAGGCGGTTTGCGCGTGCTCCTCGACGCATGCCCTCCTTCTCCGACAGCTGTTCTTCCTGAGTTTGTGTTGTGCTCCCATTCGTGCTGCTGTCGGCAACGCCGTTGCCACATCCGTTGATTCCGTTCGCGCTGTGGCCGGTCCCGTTGGAGACGGCCAGGGCCTTTACTTTGGCGGTGACGGCCGCAATCTGTGGTCTGTGGCCGTCCTCCTCCGATGAATCTGTGTCGCTGCCTGCCACAGACGTCCGTCCCGAAAACGTGCCGCCAAAATCACGGCCAGCATGAAGGTGCGGCGAAATCATGCTGCGAAGACGGTCTTCGGCGGAAATGAAGGATGGAGTGCCATCCGGGGACGACACTACCTCTTGGCGGGATCGGCTAACGTCGATCTGCGGGGGTCGGTTATCGTTGTCCTCGTCAGAGCTGTAGCCCTGCTCGATTCGCTTCGTTCTCCGGCCAGGCGTGGGTGACTGGTGCCGGGAGTGGCCGTTAGCAACACCGTTACCGTTTGCTGCAGTCTCATCCCTCTGGCGGAGGGCGTCTAGATCTTCGCGTTTCTGGTAGTGGCTTTTGTGGTTGCATCCGTTAGGACAGCCACCCCAGCGACGCGTCACAATGAAGGTCTTACTGCGCTCTAGAAGAGTTGACGCTTTTGCGTCTTTGGGCGTCTTTTCTTGATTTCCCTCCACCTCAGTCTTCTCCTTTCCCTCTTTCTCCTTGAGCTGGGCACGCTCCTTGCGCAGGTCAGACCACGTTCGGAGCTTGTTCTCGAGAATGTATTTGCCGCTTTCTTCCTGCTTGCGCATGATGAGAAACTCGCAGTGGTTCACGTTACGCAGGTCCTCGAAATACTCGACGGTGAAGTGATACCACTTCATCAGGAAGACACGGGACATGAGGCCATGGGTAACTATGCGTTATGGATTAACTTAGTTGCCTGACCGTTGGTCTGGAGACTTACCGAGCACGCAAACGCTGGCAAAGTCGTTCTCTCCGAACTGGCGCCACAAACTCTCGTTAAAGCCACTAACTCTGTCGTAGGCATCTGCGGCGCTCTCGCCGTTGGGGATGCGGTAGAAGAAATGACCGTAGTCTGCCCTCTCCTGCCACATGCGCTCCATTTCGGCGGAGCAGGGCTGGAAGTTTCCAAAGTCCTGCTCGCGCAAGCGGGGCTCTTCGTAGACCTTAATGTTGGAACGCTTGAATGGTGAGGGATCTTCTTCGTCCGACGTCAGCGTGGAGAGGATGCCCTCTGTCGTCTCGCGAGTACGGCGGTAGGGGGATGTGAAGAAGTGGAGGGTATCATCGGCTCGTAGAAGCTTGCGCAGGCGTCGGCCGGCGTCGTAGGCCTGTTGCCAGCCATCTTGTGTCAACTTCACACGGTGGTCAGGTATCGTCTGGTGGATGTCGCGGTTCTCTGTTCAGAGGGCTTTGATTAGCAATCCGGGCACACACACGTGTCGGACGAAGGGGGTTGGCATACTGTTGCCCTCGGACTGGGCGTGTCTGATGAGGATAATGAGTCTCGGCTTCGCCATGTTGTCAACTTTTGACAGGTTGTGGTTTCGCAGAATTTGTAAAGCGCCACCTGGTATTGTTCAAGCGAAGGGACAGGCGTCGGTGCGATTATTGGAAAATGATATGGTGGGACGAAGGAGTTTCTTATGGCCGGGGTATCATTCGCGGTGTCGAAGAAGGGCAACAAAATTCAGCCGCAGGTCGCAAAAGAGTAGCGTTGAGAACCTTGTTGACCGGGAAGAGTGAAGAGAGGAATGAGGCGGGGCAGGAGTTTGGCGGTTGAGAGGAAAACCTTAGGAGGGGCTGCCGTTGTATTTGTATCGCCTTATGCCAACCTTAACCTTACGGACAGGGTCTGAGAGGGGTGGTGCTTGCTTGGGAAAGGCGTCAACGGATTGTCAACCAACAGGCCCTGAGAGGTTGAGATGGGATGAGTTTAATTTAGGTACAAGATACGTAAAGCGTAGCAAGGAGTAGCTAAGAGTCACAAGATGGGATTGTGTGTGTGTGCGCGAGTGTGCGAGTGTATATGTGTGTATGTGTGTGTTGGTAGTGTGACGGCGACGGGAGCGACATGGAAGAGTGCGGTGGCTCTTTTTGACTGAGGTCGCCTCCTGTCAGGCACTAATTGCTGCTGCACTGTACATCAATCGTTGGCGTCTTTCTTGCGTGCCCCCTTCCGTGTGACAGGTATTTTTGGTTCCCGTCCGCCGCCCGGTGGCATGGTACTTGTGCCACCACCACAGGTATTCCATACAAGTCGGTCGGCCGTAATTTTTTCTGGCATGCTCAGCAGCAGCAGAAACATCCAAAGGACCCCTCGTCCCACTGAGCGGCGGCTTTTTTGGCGGGCTGGTTTTCAATCTGAAGCCCTGTCTTTCCGGGGACAGGCACCGGGCATCTCGTCTGTGTCCATCGCTCCCCTGCTGCCCCTGCTGCGGCGGGGTACATCGGGGCATCCCAACGTGCCGACCAGCCAACCAGACGTCAGAGACAACACTTTTGAAGGCCCGGCAGCCGCCTTGAGACAGGGAATCCGCAGCCCCTGATTGGCGCACTGGCCCCCCGATAAGCGGCGACGCTGCTCTCCATGCCCCACCCTTTCAGCGGCATGGCGGCGGCACTTGCACTGCACGATGCAAATGCCCTCTCCAGCTTTTTTTTTTTTTTTTTTTTTTTTTTTTTTTCCTTCCCTCTTCCAGCTCCTTCATGCTGTCTCGACGTCGCTCCAGTCAAACTTGCAGCAAAGACGAGAAGTCTCAGTGGACTGCTTTACTCACAGGGCCCTACACGTCCTTCTGCTAAAGTAGGTAGACAGACACTCGATTTTGTCCACTTGCCGCTCAACGCCCTGCCGGTGCAACCCTATATTGCGCCGTCTGTCGCATTTCGCTCTACATAGTACAACATTTTGCGCGTGTCGCTCATGATAGACGCGTGCCTGGAACTGCCCATTCCCGCAACGCCGCACCGTCATTCGACAACGTTCCCCACCGCACCCACACCATTCCACATGCTTCTCATGTTCCATCCTTCAGTCTTCCACTGACGCGAAGAAACATACGAACGACAGCCGCCGCAACTACCCCGGAACTCTCCCTCAAGCTTAGCCGCCGTCCGCTCCAACACAACAGTGCCGTGCCACCTCCAACAACGTGCCAAGTACGACGAACGACAATCCCTTCCCTCTTGTGTCTCCGGCGCGACGACTTTTGCACTTACGGAAATCTCCGACCGCCCTGCGGCGCCAACACAGGAATCCAGACAGAGAAACAAACAATCCCAACGACGCATCCATCTCTCGCGCCCGGCCGACTGCATAGCAGATCTCTGTTCGGTTGCCTCCCAGCATCGAATCAGCCCATTCCCGACCTGGTCTCATCCCACAATCATACGACCCCAATCTCAACGTAACGCGCCATCTTTTGCTGGACGATCCCCAACACCCCGCAAATACCACCACCGCCTTCGCAAATCTCCCACATCTCTCTCCCACCTGCCAGAGCATCAGCAGCAACCATGTCTGGCGAGGGCCCCGAGTCCATCCCCACCTCCGCCGACCCGCGCAGCCGGCGTCCGGTCAAGAAGCGCGCCCTCACCCCCGTCACCGAGCACGCGAAGCAGCTCGACGCCCTCTTCTCCAAGCCCGACCAGGAGATCTGTATCCCCCCACCCCCCGGCGCCGTCGCCAAGCGCGCCGTCAATGCCCCGCCCGAAATCGTGACTAATGTCCAGGGCTCCAGCGCCGGAGCCGGCTCGGGCGAGTTCCATGTCTACAAAGCCAGCCGTCGCCGCGAGTATGACCGACTGCGTGCCATGGACGAGGAGGTGAAGCAAGAGAAGGATAACGAGGAGTTTGAGCGTCAAAAGGCCGAGCGCGAGGCCAAGGACGAGGAGCGCACACGCAAGAACAGAGAGAAGAGAGAGAAGAAGAAGCAGAGGGGCAAGAAAGGCCCTGTTGCAGCCGGCCCAAAGGCGCCGGCAGTGCCAAGCGGTGGTGCAGACAAGCCGACTTTGGCGGAAACATCTACAACCAAGGCAGACGGCGATGCCAAGGAATACAGGGACGGCGGTAGAAACATGGAGTCAAAGACCACCGCTACAGCTCAACCCTCCGGTCTCGTCATCCACGACGACGACTGATTCATCCATGAGGTTCATGGGCTTGAGCTTTAAAGCTTGGCTTGGCATCCCCAAAAATAACTTCAGATCAAACGGGTGGGTCCAGGATTGACAGACTGTGCAGTGACAGGAGACACAAGCAGGCAGAGCCCCGATCAAAGCATCAAAGCTTTTTTTTCTTTTTTAAAAAAATGCCCGAGAACGTCGTCGTCGTCTAGGTATTTCTAATCCCATGTCTATGCCTTGGTATAGGGTATGGCTTAATATTTTCCCCCCTTCATCATCTCTTCTCGTCACAACACACGTTGTAGTTTCCCACTATCACCAGAATACCAGCCGACTGACTTCATCAGGCATCTTATTCGTCACCACCACCGTGCAGGCCGTTGCCTACTTGCGCAGCCTTTCTCGCACTGCAAATATCGTCGACTCTGAGGAGCAGGCAGGCGGCCTGGTAAATGTGTTAGTTGATGTGTCGTAAAACCTTGTGATATCTTGTAGATGTAAACCACATACCTCGACAGCCGTCTTGATGCTCTGCAACTTAATAGCCTCCGGCTCCCAGACTCCGTATTCCTTCATGTCCGCAATCACACCGCTGTCTCCGTTGATACCCCAAGAGTGCTTGCCTTCGGCGTGCTTGGCACGCAGATCCGTCAGGACTCTGACGGGGCTGGCACCGGCATTCTGCACCAGGGTACGGGGGATGACTTCGAGCGCATCAGCGACAGCCTTGTACGGCCACTGCTGAACGCCCTCAACACCCTTTGCGAGCTGGCTCAACCGCACAGAGACGGCCATCTCGGTCGCACCACCGCCAGGAGCAAGTCTGGGGTTGAACATGACGTTACGGGCGACACCCATAGCGTCCTGGAGGTTACGCTCAATCTCGTTCAGCACGTCCTTGGATGGGCCTCTCAGGAGCACTGTGCAGGCCTTGGGGTTCTGGCACTTGGTCAGGAAGGTGAAGTACTCGTCGCCAATCTTCTCAATCTCGAACAAGCCGCAGAGAGTACCGACGTCGGAGTCCTGGAGATCGTCGACACGGTTGACGATGGTGGCGCCCGTGGCTCTGGCTATTCTGTTGTTGTCCGTCTTGCGGACACGGCGGAGCGCGGTAACGTTGGCCTTCACGAAATAGTGCTGGGCGAGATCTGCTAGACGTTAGCCAAAATTACCCCCTGAATCCCGCTTCTTGAGATTGCGTACCTGAGACACCCTTCTCAGTGATGACCAAGTCAGGCTTCAGAGCGAGGACGGCCTCGCACATGGCCTTGACCTGCTCTTCCTCGATCTGCAAGATACGGTTCCAGTCCTCCTCCTTGGAAATCTCAATGTTGGTTTGCGACTCGCCCTTCTTGTACTCCAAGGGGCAATCGAGGAGGACGATTCTGGGGTTCTCTATTCTCCGGCGCATCTTGGGGTGGGTGATGTCCTTGTTGAGCATAACACCGTCCAGCACTCTGCTGTCCTCGATCTCGCCGCCGGGAACCTTTTCCACACGCGCGTAACGCTTGATGTCGACCTCGGTTTTTCCGTTGCCGGCCTCCCACGTGACGGTGCGGACCGCCTTGAGGGCGAGGTCGCACATCAGGTCCGACCATCTCGAGACGAACTTGGTGCCGATAGAAGAGGAGATGAGGCCGCGCATGGCCTTGTCGTCGTTAACGTCGATGGGGAGGGAAATGTCGTCGATGATCTCGAGGGCGTCCTTCAACGCGCGGCGGAAGGCAGCGATGATCTGGACGGGGTGGATGTTGCGCTCGAGCTGGGGCAGGGACTGGGCGAGGATCTCACCAGCTAGGAAGTGTCAGTTACTCTTTCTTGATAAGCAGCAATTGTAGTGCGCGCGGATTTCGAAGCTTTGCTCACCCATGATTATGACCGTCGTGGTGCCATCGCCAACTTCCTCGTCTTGCGTCCGGCTGAGCTCGATCATGCTCTTTGCTGCAGGATGGGAGACCTCGATTTCTCTGAGAATGGCGTGGCCATCGTTTGTGAGGACGATGCCTCCCATAGGGTCCAAGAGCATCTTCAACATGGCCTTGGGGCCGAGGCATGATCGAATAATGTCGGCAACGCTGGGAACGCGGGGTCAGTTGGTTCGTACGGCGGTGTAGTCGAACAGGATAGACGTACGTCTTAGCAGCAGCGATGTTGGACAGCTGGGCCTTGCGACCCGTCTGCCGCTCACCGCTATTGGTGTCTAAGGAGAGGGATATGGTCAGCATCACCGCGTAACATGGGGGGTAGCTCATCAAGCTCGGCGGGAGGAGGGGCTGCAGTACTCATAACCAGCACAGGGGCTTGCATGATGGGCGACGACAAATTCAGAAAAATCTAATGGAAATCCGGATCGTCTGTGGGATTTGTTTCGGCGAAGGACTTCACCGTTGCAAGGGAAATCGTGGAGATGGCGGGGGTATTGTTGCTGCTCCTCAAGGCACCGGGCTTCTAAAAAGTTCGCTGGGCGGGTTTGTTTTTTGGCGGGATGAAGCTGGAGCACGGCGGAACCTATTCCCGGTGGTGTTCACCGAGCTTCCCGCGCCTGGCTTCTGACGCACCAAACCACCACACCGATGCAACCAATACTTTAGCCTCAGGTTCCAAAGTACACTTCTTCCAACACCTTGCTTCACACCAATCACTGCACGGTTCAGGAGCAGACGCATAACCCGAAATAATATTTAATTATACTTATCGAAAAAAGGCCGTGAATGATGCTAATTTTCTCGTTTTCCTCCTGTCAGAATGTAAGAGGGCTGCAGATGATACCGATTATCACGGACGCCGCCCTTTTCAGCTCTCCTCACCAATAAAGTCCCGTCGTTCTCATGATACCTAGTGATGCCCAAGTCTACATCCTAACTTCGTTCCTAAGCCCAGAACTTCCTGGACGGTAGCTCGCATGACTCGGATACCTCCCAGTGGGCTGAACACTCGGCCTCGCCCGTATATGCCGAGGAATTTGTGCCGGGACCTGGGCGAAAGAGGGATCTCGTGAAAGGTCTCGGGCCGCAATTCTTGCAGGAACATCAATCCATTCGTCTTTGAAAATGATGTCCACCACGCAGCTGTCTCTGGCCATCGCTTGCTGGAGAGATATCCACTGCAGCCTGTTCTCTTGTGCGGCTTGACCAACGCGCTCCCAAAACTCCCCTTTCCGCTTAACCTTGGTTTCGGCTTTAGCTCTTCGGTCTGTTTCCTTCCAAGGGAGGCCGGGTACTTTATCTGTCGTCAAAAAGTCTTCCACTATCTGATGGCCCGGAATTTGGTCTACTTTCGACTGGGTCACGAAAATGGGGATGCCGTCTTTACTCAGCTTCAATCTCAACCTTGCTGATTCCTCTGGCACATTATATGAGCCGTAAGAGGAGTTCGAGAAGTCTCCGAGTCCCCGGGGAACCGCCGCTTGATCTGGAGCTATGTCGCGGATCATCTGATGTTGCCAAGGGTGTGGCATCACAGTCACCTTGTCGACTGGTACCGCAATTTTGATGGTGGAAAGCGGCATCGGATCGAGGTCGAGGGGAACCGGACCGTCGCTTAGCACCAGTGGCCTAGAGATTTCGATGCAAAGCCATCTGCGGTTCTTACCAATGGCGTCGGTTCTTTGATAATACTCAGTATTAATTCAACATGAGAGGAGCGGGGTTAGAGGTGAGTGGACTTACATTTCAAAATCATGCATGGCTATCGGATGGTTCTCTTCATGTCCAAAGTACATCTCCGTACTGAGACTCTCCTGGAGTTGTTGGGCGTTTTCAGCATCCAGTGGTGGACCAAAGTCTTTGTGTCGAGCGTTGTCCTCCTTCTGAAAATGGATTGATTGTATGGTACGCTTTCGATATCCGTTGGTCTCTTTGGATCTTTCCTCAAAGGCACTGAAGTTCATGCTCATTTGCCGGCCTCGTGGGCCTTGTCTCCATTCAACGTTCATGACTTGGCCGGCTCGTCGGAGACTCGTCATTCCCTGTATATTGTAAGGAGTCTCGTTGAATGCGCCGAGCGCCGCCTTCAGTCGGCGCACACTTCCTTGACTTAGTTAATGTTAGTAGAGACTTCCAACGCTGAGAAAACGCTCCTTGGCTTACACGAATGGAAGTCTTGCCTGATGGTGACGAAGCCATTTGGCGCGCATCTCTCTTTTGTCGAGACCCAGTTTCCCCCTGTCATCATATACGGTTGGCTGGTTTTCGAGCCCCATCGACACGATTTGCTGTGTGGCACTAGCACCAACAGCCTCTTGGTGAAGGTCGTAAGGAATTTCTAGAGTCCAATCGGTCGACCGGATATTATCGATCGCGATGACATCGTTGGGAGACTCATTCTTATAGTAATTCTTGTCCTCGCGGTGGAGTGCTTCGAATTTTGCCCTTCGTTGCGAGCCAATTTTGATTCCCAGAAGAAGCTTCTCCCGAACGCTCGCACTAGGGACGAAGTTCGACATCTTTGATAATTCAGTGCCTGCCTCACTAGTGAACTCGACACTTGATGGGTTCCTGCAGAGCGAGAGTGTGCCTGAATGTACAATTAGGTGGAAGAAAGGCAAGATGCCCAAGTGAGGGTGCGGTGCCTTACAGTGGGAGGACAAGGTAGGGAAGATTTGTCGCCTTCCAGGCGGAGAAAACCGATCTGTATGCCTCAAGATTCATCAGACCTTTTCTGGCAAAGCTTTATGGTTCAAAAAAGTACCTATGTCGGAGTTGGAGATTTCCATGGTAATGGCCGCTTCCTGGCCAGAGCCTAATAGCGTCGTTTGCCGGTCCTCTGTTCGCACCGAAATGTCTGCTCTAGATGATTCACCAGGACTTTTGTTCTGGGGTCGCTTTCTTGGTATGTCAGGACATTCGGATGCAGGCCTCTTGCGTCCTCGGACCCAAGGACCTGCCATGCCGCAGGCGCCCAGGCTGACCTTATAACCGTGAAATAACGATGAAAGACTTGGCTGGAAATGATAAAGATATGTGCAAAAGTTAAAAGACTGAGGATTCCTTTTTTTGAAAGTAGTAGAGGATCGATCAACCGTTCCTGAGGTGGAAGGTAGCGCGGGGATGTTGATTTCGTTGCAAGAGATACTGTTGTTGTGGGAAGAGGGGATCGCCGACGTTTTGTAGCCGTCGTTCATTGTTCAGGTGAGCTGCTGTAAATCAAATTCCTAGCAAGAAGTCGACAACGAAGATTTCGTTCGAAGATTCGAGGTCAAGGCAAGAGCTGTTCTGGTGTAGGAGGTTCTGGAGCAGACGTCGGTCTAGTCAGTTAGGCAGAAAGAACGATTCGATGGTAGGTAGGTAGGGCAAGTGAAGGTCAACCGAAGATGAGAATAGGGAAGTCTCTTGAGGAAATCGCGTCAGACGCTCGGGTCTTTCTGAAAGAGGTCAACCCGACGAATGGGAGCAGGCACGCCTGCCTCTCTCAAAGCGTTTTGGAAAGGGGCGTATAGGGCTGTGGCGAACTAACAGGGACGAAATTATTTGGCATCTTCTCAAGGCACTAAGAGTCCTTTTAGGAAGGGCAATACTGTACGAGAACCGCGGCAGAAGGCGCATCCATGGTCAGGACTCCGGCAGATACATACATGAAACCGACTGTTTCCCCCATGTCGTCGTGACTTCAATGTTCCTCGTACTATAGTTGTCACTTTCAAGGCGAGAAAGTGGGTGCTCGACCTCAGAGTCAAATCCACGTCATTACCTTGGCGACGACGTAGTTGTGAAGAAGACCATATACATTCGTCACGAATGATCTAGGCTAGCTGCCCAATGGCCCATGAGAAGTGAAACTGATGTATAGTCCGGAACCATCCCGTCCATTCCCGCCGAATCAAAGCCCTCTTTTCTAAGGGCGCTTCTCTATCATGGTATCCGCCTCGAAGCAGTGGTCCTTGGTGCGCAAAAAGGACACTACTGATTATTCATGCTAACCCAATTCATTCGTATCCCTTGAAACGCCCAACCCATCCGTATGACGCATGCCCTTCCAATGTGATTCCTTTTGATTTGAAGTGTAGAATGTCGTTGCTTGTACTTTTCGCCGCAGGATACAAGTTGTAGCCTACGAAATGACTCTGTCCTCGCCGTTTTTCCTATTGCTTGTATTTACTCAGAAGAACTTGGACATAGCTCTGCTGAGATCGATGAAGTCCACCGGCTTCGTAACATAGTCACTGAAGCCAGCTGCCACACACTTGTCCTGAACATCGGACATGACATTGGCCGAAAGCGCAATGATGGGCAGCTTCTTGAATCCCCGTTCCTTTTCCCACTGCCGTATCTCCCGGCAAGCTTGGTAGCCGTCTTTGCGCGGCATGTGCAAGTCGCACTAGTTGATCTATTAGTGGCCACGTCGGCTTGTCGGCAGGTAGGATAACTTACCAGTATCAGAGAAAAGTAGCTATGGGAGCGAGAAAAGACGGTCTCGGTGCACTCGGCTCCGTCTGCAACAACCTCGACTTCCACGCCGACCTTCTTGAGGTATTTCTTCAGGACCTTTTGGTTGACAGGGTTGTCTTCTACCAGCAGCACCTTATACCCCTTGTTGCCCATACGTTTCTCGATTTCCTGGTAACTGGCCTTCTGAGTTTCCACCATGCGTTGTGCTGTAGACCTGTTTCGATCAATGCTAAGATCGCGAACCTTGTCCGGATCGAAGATGACAGCAAATCTGGATGGTTTGACTGGCTTGTAGATAAAGGTGACCAGGTTCTCAGACACCAGCTGCTCATACTTTGTGTCAGTTGCCAGTTTCATTACCGCCTGCCGCTGAACCGAATCGGACAAGATCAGGATTGTCGTATTGCTAATGGTCGTAGACTTTGTAATTCTCTCCATCAATCCGATGATCTCTTCGGGCGAGGGTAGGTTGAGAACGATGTGCGTGAAATTAACAGATTCATCTCCTCCCAGAAGGCTTTGAGCTTTGTCAACTGAATCAAGAGCTGTGATTTGATGAGGCACGTCCTTGGGAAGGGTCGTCTCAATGTGTTGCGCCGTGGCCTCGCGGCTATGAGTTTGCGGGCAGATGATGAGGATCGAGTACATGGGAGGTCTGAAGTCTTCCAGTTTGACGGGCTTAGATGTCTCAGGGGTCGGTGTCGTGCCCGATGATGCTTCGCTGGGAGGAAGCTCAAGCTTCATCTCTGACAGGTCTTGACCGCTCGCCCTGGCGGCTTCACTGAAGTGTACGAGACCGACGTTGACCGAAGACACAGATGTGCGCTCCGTAACTTGGGAAATATTAGAGCGTATCGAAGGATCAGAGCTTCCACTAGACGCCAGAGCTGGCGAAACGAACTCAGCATCAGTGCTCGGGCTTGCGCCCGATATGGCTTTTGCTGCTGGCGAAGCTTTTACAGCGGGGCGAAGAACGGTGACCTCCTCAGGAGCTTGAACGACAGGCTTGAACGCTTCGGGGCTGATCGGACCATCGGGGTGGTCGGCTGAGGTTGGGAGGGCAAACTTGGCGGTGAATGTGAAAGTCGAGCCTTTGCCGGGAACTGCAGTGCCCTCCATCTTGCCACCGTGGAGCTCCACCAGCTGTCGGGAAATAACCAAGCCAAGACCACTTCCTCCATGCTGTCTGGTGCTGCTTCCATCGATTTGGCTGAAGGGCTTGAAGATCAAGTCCGCTTCCTCTTTCGTGAAACCTCGTCCGGTGTCGATAACTGCAAACTCCAGCATGATCTCGTCGTTGGCGGGTGCCGACTTTGTGTTGGTGAAGATTCTACATCGGCTGAACACCTCACCTTCGGCAGTGAACTTGATGGCATTTCCAATGACGTTGAGAAGAACCTGACGGATGCGCACTTTGTCGCCCTTGACCCAAGCAGGAACGTCCTCTTCGACAATGTAGTTGAGCTCAAGTCTCTTGGCAATCGCCATGGTGGACACCAGCTCGTTGACATCTTCAATCAAAGAGCGCGTGTGGAACCATTCGTATTTGAGCTTCATCATGCCGGCGTCGACCTTGGATAGATCCAAAATGTCATTGATGATCATGAGGAGGCTGTTGGCGCTCGTTTGAATGGTGTTGGTGTAGTCACGCTGCTCCTCATTCAAGGTCGTATCCTGCAAAAAGCTGACCATGCCAGAGATTCCGATCAATGGGGTGCGAATCTCGTGCGACATGTTGCTCAAGAATCTACTCTTTGATTCCATGGCTTCTTTGAGTTTGGCTTCCAGGAGCTTGTGATCGTTGATGTCCGTAGCAGAGCCAAAGTATGAGCTCGCTCCGTTGCCGAAATCAATGTTGTCAATCTCGACGCATCGAATCAGATGCCACCTGTATTCTCCGTTCCGAGATCGCAATCGGACCTCGGTCGTATACGACAGTCTGCCGTTGCTGTCGGTAGTCACCTTGATGATTCCTTTCCTCGCCAGCTCCGTGAGATCTGCGGTAGGCATCTCGTACACCGAACTACTGCTCGAGCTGTTATTTCGCGAAAGCGCTTGGTGTATTCCTCTGATATTAGTCTCCATCAGATTTTGACCCTTCGATGGCGCAGTCAAGCTCGTGAAAGCAGCCTCGAAAGATGCAGCTTCCTGTTGGCTCTTACGATCGAATTTGGCTGGAAAGGGTGTGGGCGGCCGATCTGTGGGTATTTGGCACTTCGCTAAATCATCAGGATGGACGAAGTCCATGAAGCCGAGACCAAGTGAATCTTCAAAGCTCTGGCCTGTATATGAGAGCCACTGCTCGTTGGCGAACGTGATGCCCTCATCTTCGGTAGCTGTGAAGATGATTTGGGGGATGAGGTTTGCCAAAAGTCTATGCTTCGCCTCTGATGCCTCAATCTCTTCTTGACGCGCGGCTTTGAGTTCGGCAATATGTTGGTCATGAATATCCATGTAAGATCCGAGAAATTGCATCATGACTCCGCGCTTGTCACGGGAAGCCACAGCTCGGGCGTAAAACCATCGATAAGCGCCGTCGAAGCGCCTTATACGAACTGTTCTCGAAAATTGCTCCCCTGTCCGTAAAGAGTGGCCCCAAGCCTTCAAGTACTCGTCCCTATCATCAGGGTGAATGCTGCCCCAAGGGTCAGCAGCGAGGTCGGTCACTGTTTGTCCTCGATACGTCAGGTAGCGACTATTGACCCATACAATCTCGCCAGTTTGGGGCAGTGACACGAAAACGTGCGCTGGAAGGGAATCAAGGATGAGACCTTTCAATCGATCGGAAGGTGGCGGCATATCGACTGAGCCAACAGTAACTGAACCAGCTCTGTACGGTGCCGTGTGGGGCACAGGCTTGCTCACAACACTCGAACTAGGCGGTAGTGACTGGAAGCTCGTGGCGAAGTCGGCACCGTAGGAGTGTAGGAGAGTGTGCTGGTTCTGTTCCAAAGGCTTCTGCTCGACAGACTTCAGTCGGGGTTCGAGTACCGCGATTTCATCCAAGTAATTCTTCAACTCGCTGGAGAGTACGCGTTTGACACCACCCGGCGTGGAAACCCGACTTTCCGTAGCCCTCTCGATGATGTCTTGACCTTCACCTGTCCCGGGTGTGGAGGAGGGTTCCTGCGCGACAGCATGAAGTCCAACCGACAGACGAGCTTGCCTGTGATCGACTGGTGAGCCCTCCTTGGAACTGCGTCGCGTCTTTTGGGAACTCGCTGAGGATGTTTCTGCTCGGGCCGAAGATGCTTTTTTGTTGGTGTTGAAGTAGCTCTCGCCTCCAGAGTAGGCAGGGCTGGTCGAAGGCCCGCGCTTGTCCATAAGCATATGGAGCGAGCTAGAGTCCCAGCCTGGTGTTCCCATCGGCGAGCCAGTTGCGCTCTTGGAGACACCGGAGTAGTCACTTGGGCTTGTGATACTGCCCGCCAGGGAGCGATGGGCAGTCGGGTCCTCGGAGGGGAGAAAACTAAGGTTACCGATACTGGCAGGGTCTGCCAACGGTCGTCCATCAGCAGCAATGGCACCGAAACCTGCGGTGTGAGGTCTCCGGCGGTTGAGTCCAGCAAGCTCCGTCTCCAGATTCGAATAATGACGACAAAGAGAGAATGAAGTCGCTAGGTGCGGGGCCAGATACTCGAGAGAGTGGCGAAGGTTCGAGGGATATGGGATGATGGGGCTGAGTATCGAAAGAATGGCAATTGGTGCAGGCTTGTCCTTTCGTTGCCAGGAGCTAGCAGACGCGTCATGGTCCCCTGACTGATCATGTATCTCGCTCTTATTGCGGCTGTGCGTCTTCTGCTCGAGGATGGTTGTGTCGAGTTTAAATGGATGAACAGGTTTGGAAAGAAGGAGATGCGTCAGGGGGATGTGAAGAACAGTCCATGAGTTGTCCACTCCGATCGCCTCGGGCGGTCGCATTCCAGCGTAGTCTGCAGGCGCGGACCCCGGGTTGAAGGAATCTTCATCCACCATCGCATCAGTGAAAAAGGGGTTCTCAGTGGGATCAGCGCGGACCGCGGGCGATGGCGCAGGAGACTGAGACCATGGCGACGGAGGAGCTTGCTCAAACTCTTCATACTTTGGGGTCGGCGGCCGTGGTTTATCATCCTCCAGTCGCGAAATCATGCTTGAAGGCTGAGGTTTTTCTAGTCCCTGGCTGCGACCCAGACTCCGCGGAGGATTTCCGCCTCCTAAAATAGTTGACAACTTCGAGCTAGAGTCCGCCCTCATCTTCTTCAGCTTTTTCCTGGCTGCATCTGTCGATGTCGCTTTCGTCGCTGGATTGGCCTTGGCAGCCGGTTCATCTGGTAAATTTTGCAGGTATGGGTAGCTTCTTGTGAGTGCAATCACCTTACCGCGTTCAAGAACGCGCATGACGCCACTGTGGTCGATGAGAGGATCGGCTTCGTAGTCTAAAGCTTGAAGGACAGGGAGGACCCTGCCTTGAACATCTGGATTTGCACCAAGAGGTACTTCCCAGCTGGGCACGTCTTGATCCTCAGCATCGTGTTCAGCGAGTGCCGACGTGTTGAGTGGCGGCCCTGACGGCTCAGAACCGACTTCTTCGGGCGCTTGTGCCGGCGGAAAGTAACTCTTGCTCCTGCCAAGCTGCGCTGGACGACGGGAGGGCAAAAGTCTCTCGCTGCCACCTTTTCTCTCTCTGTTATCCTCGTAAGCGGTGAAGGAGTGGCGAGTCTGTAGACTCGGTCGCGGAACAAGCTTTGGTCGTGAAGGGTCTTCATGCGCTGCTTGTTCTTCGATGACAACGTCACCCGCACTGCTGGGAATGAGACTGCTGCCTCTGGCCATGTAACCAAGACTAAGGTCGTCTTCTTGGTGTTCATTATAGGTCGCCTTCTGACCCCACGGCACGTTTTCGATGTCAGTGGTATCAGCTGGCACGGCAAGTGTGACTCTTTCGGCTTTGTACACATCCCTCATGATCTGCACGACTGTGTTCCACCACGCATCTAGTCCAGGTTCGGCACTTAGCATTAGTGACAAGTCATACAAATTAGGGCTGGGGAAATCGCCATCCAACTGGCCAGTAGCTCCGGCAGGGAGGAAAGTCAGCGCTGATGCGGGCGTCGACGAGCCGGAGAGGACCTTGTCTTGAGCAGCTCCAAAACCCTCGAATGACATGGTTTGCGACATGAAAGCCGCAGCAGTTGGTGACATGTTGCCGAATGGTCTGCTCATCGGATTCATGGCATACCCAGGCGTCGACATACGTGGGAACGGGTAAGAAGGAGTACCTGCGACAAAACCCGGAGTGATGCCGCCGCGAATGGTGTTTCCCGACTCGGTCGAGGTTGTTGTCAGGCTGGATGATGTTGTCGCCAGGGCTACGGGATTGGTCTGGAGCGTATTGTTGCTCTCCTCGGGGATTGGAGAGACGCGAACCTTGTCAGGAGGCGTCGCCATGAGACCCCTTGTCGCCATCTCGCGACGCTCCAGATCGCGTGCCAATCGCTCCCGGTACCGGTTCAATTGTATCTGGGACTCGGACAGTGCAGGCGGCGTGTCGTTGTTGGAGCCCGCGGCCTCTTCATTTTTGCTTTTTTCTTCCTTGCCGCTTGTCCCACCTGCGACGTCATCGGCGACATGAGGTACGCCCGGTGTACGCTTCGCATTGATATCTCGTCCAAGTGCGCCAGAAGTCGCAAAGGTGGCGGACTGAGATTCGAGTTGCGCCTTGGGGCGGTCAGCCGGCGACTGAGAAGACTTCTCCTTGGACACGTTCGACATTGCGACGCGCGCATTTCCACCAGATGAAGGGGAGTTCAGGGTCAGTCCATGACGGGGACTCGGGAGGCTCTGAGCGGGTTCTTTGGTTGGCGACTTTTTTGCTTCGGGGGTGGTTCGTCGCGGGAGGCTAAGTCGACGCGCGGAAGACGGCTCTTTCTTGTCTACTGGAAGGCTCGTGCTTGGCATTCCTCATAAGAAGGGCGCCCCATATACAGAACAATAACGCGAGGATTTGCAGACTTCGAGTGGTCGTGTCGCTTCGCAAATAAGCCGATCCGGACTGGAGGTCAGAAGCGGCGCCGTTGAACCAAGCGTCAGGGGTTCAAGCAGAATCGGACGGTGAGTAGGTCCGCGAGGGGCTCGGGCGGGGAGGCGATATATCGGAAGAGGGGCAAAGTAGAAAAGTCGGTCGGCGGGCTTGGGACGAGGAGAAAAGGTGCTCTCGTCAAGCGGTGGAGGAGGAAATCCGAGGGCGAGCGTGCGATGCGGTGTCGTGTTGTGTTGTGTTGTGCGGCGGTGGTGTGGTGGTGGTGGTTTAGTCTGGTTGAGAATTGGATCGGTACCTCTTAGTTTTGGTGGTATGGTGAGGTGGGCGAGGCAAGGTATGGATGAGATGTGCGTTTGGACTGAAGTGGAATAGGCTGAACAGCGAGTATGGGACTGGAACTAGGAAAGACCAGGACCGGGACTGGGATTGGGACCGGGACTGGGGGGTTGAGGTTGCTCCTCAGTCTTGCATCGGGCCTGACGGTGACGGTGGACTGGGGTCGTCGGAAGGGGAGGAGGAAGACGACGACGAGGAGGATCGGGGCGTGGAGCAGAAAAAAAAAAAAAACGAAGCGAAGCGAGAGAACACGCAGTAGCGGCGCGGACAACGATGCAGTGAGGTAGCAGACAGGACGGACAGACGGGCATGCAACGGGCTGGCAAAGGCAAAAATGTAGGAAGGCAGAGAAAGAGACAGAGAAACTGGACAGAGGCAAAGGCAAAGGCAAGAAACGGAGGAACAAGAAAGGAAAGGGTGGGCAGCCCCGTTCAATGAGAATAGTCCTGCTTGATGACGTAGTTGGGAGGTGGGAGCTGAGGTGAAGAAGACCAGGACATTGGATGGAACATGCCCTCCAGGCTCCAGGTACCTTACCTAAGGTACCTTCCACACCTACCTAGGTACGCCGGGCTGCTCTCCCGCCCGAGCTCTCTCTCCCTCTCTCTTCGCTGTCTACCGCCCAGTCTCCCTACTTCCTTCCTACCTACCTACCTACCTAACCTTACCTTAGGTGCCTAGGTAGGTTACCTGAATTCTTCCCCCTTTCAGCACTGGAAATACTGCCCACTCAACATCCGTCTTTTGGTAAGGCTATTTTACTCTGCGTATCCTCCTCCAGTCTCACACAACTGTGGAGGTCCTGCCGCTACATGGACTCGCTCTGACGCCTCTTTCTCTGCGTGTTCTTCCTCTTCCTCACTACTTGGCAATGGCCTCGTACATGCTGATGACATCGCAACCTTCTCTGTCCGGCGCAACCAGCCAGCGGGCATCCAACCTCAGAAGAAAAAACAAACACCGCCAACGGGTGCTTCCTTGGAAGACGACCGGCTTGGTACACGAAATAGCCCTGGCCACTAGCACTTTCGCATACCTTCCCGGCCAGTCGCACTGGGCCGTACCGCTGAGGGCAAGTACTGGTACGGTACGGGTCATCCGCGGCGCATGGTGTCGGGTGCCTCATTTCCAAGCAGACACTGCTAACAACTACTTTCCGTACTGTTGCGCTCCTTGAGGTTCGGGCGTTGCTGGTGTCACGGGAACCCTAGCTTTGGAGGGCTAACCGTGCAAGTGTACAGATACCGTATGAATGTTGCCTAGTGGCATTTGGGTCACGATGGTCTCGTTTCTCCAGAGATGCCATCCCAATCAACTGCAGCTTCCGCCCTAGACATATCTCACTAACCAGTCTGGCTCAAGTGGCCCAAGCCAATCGTTCTCACGCTCACGATACGGATCAAATGGCTTTCTTCCTCCGTCTCATCTCAATCTGACACTTATTCGGTCCTCTGGGCAGCTTGTTGCGCCTCCAAGCCCAAGAGATGTCCTTTGACGGCCATTGTACAATAGAGGGCAGGCTGTCGCTTCATGTACTTGTACCTTACCCGCGCTGCGCATGTACTGCATATAGTAGTATCGCACATGAGATGTACATCACATACGGATAAGGTGCATGCCCTGGTTAAATGTGGAGCGCATTACATCAACAAACAGGTATCTACCTTAGGTACCTACACCTCCGGTACTGCGTAGCCCGCCCCGAGAGTGTCTACTGCGTAAAGTCCGACGCCCACGCTGTACTGCAGTTCAATGGAAATCAGTTGCAAAGTCACAATTCGCTGTGGAATCCACTATCAAATCTGAGAGGCGCTGGGCAGCCTGAGATGGGCTGGCGTCCTTATTCGGCCCCGGCCTCAAGCACGCACTTACGGCCCTGCCACCGCCAGGAACATCGATACTCGCTTCTCCCGTCCCGCAAGGTGAGGTATCCGTAAGGTCGCCTACCTTACCGTCATCTCGCGCTGCGGCCGGATTCCGTTCCGTCTTCCCATGGTCTGTCTACCTTACCTTACCTTACCTATCGCCCACCTAGGTACTCTACTCGGTGAAGCAACGTCTGTAGCTTCAGAGTTGCGGCTTGGCACCTAACCTTGCCCTGGACTGACATTGCGGCAATCGAACCTCTCGGGGCCCTTCTCTCTGACGGTCTCCATCGGATGCTCTCCGCCGTTTCAATTCCAACTCCACGATTCCCGTAACGGAGCCCACTCGGCGACCATCATGGCCAGGACTCCCATACCATCCGTGGCCTGCTCGTCTTCTTACATTCGCCCTGCACACCTGAGCCGCTAGAAACCAACCACTACCACGCCTTGGCTGGCTTCGGTGGCCCATTTGAACTCTCCCCGGCCCATGATGCATTCTCCCAACCTCCAAGGCAGAGGCAAGTTCATGACTCTCATCAGCACCAGGCCGTCGCCGCGCCGTATGGTTGCAAAACGTCCCAGACAAAATACGGGACACGGAACACATCATGCCAGCCATCAGACGGAATCATCAACGCACCCGGTCCGACTGCGCCCACGGTTCCCACGATGCGGCCCCCAGGGGGCCACCACCATGCCTCTGTCTGTGTTTCTCTCAGCCGGTTTTCTGCATCCGTTCCTTGCACTTTCCGTCCGCCCCGTCTGGATCGGCCTCTCTGTCCATGGCATGCCCCCGTATACGGACACACTCAACGAACCAAGATTGAGAATGCAAGCCTCCAGTACAGAGGAGTTTGATGAACTCTATCCCAGTTGCCCACAAATTCCCAAAACGCGCTGCGACGCTGAAGCCAGATGCTCGCGCGCCATTTGCTGGCTGACTGGAACAGATCATCGACCAAGACCAACTGCAAAACCGTATTCATGCGTCTGCAAACAAGATGCACCCGCATGTCGCTGTATTAACTACTGCGTATACATCCGGAACCCGACCCGTCGAGCTTGTTGGATCTGACTTACAACACCGTGTGCTTTTGTCCTCTGTGACGAAGCTCAGCAGAGCCGCGATGAAGTCTCGTCGACGTCACAAGCCTGTCGCCCTACTTGTCTCCGTAGTCCCCGAATACGACAATCAGTTCGTACAACACACGCGTACTCGTCCCGTCTTACTACAGCACACACTTTGGACGAACGTCGTTGTGTTCGGAGCTCACGTGCTCCCCCGTTGAGTCGTCAGGCGGCGAGGTGCAGTCTATTGTACATCGGCTCTCGACGCATGATATGCTGCTGCCGCTTCTCGCTGCTCACTTCTTCACAGAATTCCTCGTGGGCCATCACAGCAAGGTCCTCCAAGCGATATCAAGATGACGGAGGTCAAGTGACAGAGCTCCCGCCCCAAGTCTCCACCTACGGGGGACTCGATTACTTATCGGACGACACAACACAGTAACGCAGACGCTCCAGCGCCTCAGGGACAGCTATCTACCGTTGAACGGGGAAGCAAGGTAGTGTGTACATTCCGATAGGTAGTGGGGTCCGCCGTTGAGTGCACCCACAACAAGCCAGGGCACGCCCTGGGCAACGGCCAGCTCGGCGCCTCGAGGGGAACATCGTGAGAATTACAGCCTCACTTTACGGATCCATTTCCTACCTGCGTATACGAGGGCTCTATTTGATTCTTCGTCCACGCCGTCGTTTTTAAGACTCTGCTCTTTGTTTGACGACAACACCGTTCTCTGGCGAAGGTGGTCAAACAACCACCGTGCCGATTGAATAGACACGGCACTATCCGTAGGTAGAGCCAAAGATTCTGGGCCGCCGACTACACGGGACTAATGGCCCCAAGTGTCCACTCCATTCTAACTAGTGTACTTCAATTGAACCCACAACAACTCTTCGGACTGTGACAGGACGTGTCACGAACACAGCCCAATTTTCTACGTCTCTATCTCATCAATCCGCGCCCGCCAGCAAATGATCGCCTCTGTACGTCGACCACTTGCCTCGCCGGTCTGCGGAGCTCCTTACACGTATCCGTAGCTTTTCCTAGTGTTGCTAGGAAAGGATGAAGAAGCTCTGCAACACGACGCTGCATCCACAAGGCACAGACTTCGGACTCGAGACACTCGGCCGCATGCAAGGACGACTTGCCGACGTATTGCGTCGTCCCCGGTTGAAGAAATAGGTCTCGTCGCGATTCAGCCCTCCCTCCCAGCGGCAGCTCGACTCGTTTCTCCAGGCGTCTCACAGCGACACGACACGACACGACATGAGGCTAGGGTAACGGACACTGCTCCGAAGGCCAGCAGAGCTTGCGGGTGCTAGTTGCTTCTTGTCTGCTGGGACATGGTACGCTGCATCCAAGTCTTGCGCACGACACGGCGTCCGCTCGAACCCATCTCCCAGGTTCTTTTTTTTTTTTGTCCCTTTTTTTATTGCCTCGACCAACGCATGACCTTTCAGACCCC